CTCTTTGCCGAGTTATAATATGGTGCTACGAATGGTAAAGCTCACTGACGATGCCGACTTCGATGCCGGCGAAACGTCTGGGAATGTTCCGCGTCTACGTTCCGACTGGAAATAATCATGCATACAATGAACTCAGGACAAGGTGCGCTTCTATAAGTCTTCCTACCATTATGACAAAGTTGCGAAAACATGGTCAAACAATTTATATGCCACGTAAGGAGACTGCGACCAAAAAAAGGCCACACCATCTTGGTCGTATACTTTCGATGATATGTTTTGCTTACAGACGTTAACACACATACGCACATAGACACATTACGTATACGTATACGTGAATTAGCCAAACATTTATATATCCATTCATATCCTAACTTAATTAGTTTACATACTATATAGGAAAAAGCCTCTGTCGTCTTGACTTAGTATTAACTTGAGGCCTTTACTGGGGCTGGAATGGGTCCCAGCTCTGACGATGTTTGTCACATAACGAACGAAAGCTCAGTTCGTCTTCGCCTGAAACGGAGGATGTCTCGTGGGTTTCAGAAACTTGAAAGTCGTATTAATTTCAAACTGTTGCAATACAATGCGAATCTGCCGACGTCTTCTGGTGAGATTGACCTATGAATCTCTTCATCATGTACTTACATGCTAAATGAAAGTCTTGACATTAATTTTGTCTCAAGAGATTCTCCGAAACTCGCATTTTCTTGGTATATAAATTCTATAAGTATGGCGATTTGTCAACTCTAAGTTGAATAAAAATAAGGTGGCTCAATCCTCAGCAAGTCAGCTTGAAATGTTACCTGGCAACAATCATCTATTATCAATGAAGGATTGCAAAAGGAAGTTAAACTCGGCGAATAAGGCGAATCGTTAGTAGTCTACTTTGCTACACGTTCCTTTGGACTGATTTTTTATTTATATAGGCCTGTTATGTATCAATGCCTATTTCAATCTTTTTGCTGTCTAGATGTCCATTAGTGAACCTCGTAGCTTATCAATTACTACAGAACTAACCAATTTTAACAAAAATTATCCTAAATGTTTAATCTTCTCTCATATGCAGTTAGACATGAATTCAGAATAAATAAACTACATTCTCTACTTCCACACAAATCTATCTACCGTACTCTTTTATTTCTGCACCTCTTACCAGGAATTTACTTATTTCTCATATAGTTATTTAGAATTTGTTATTTAAGTCATTCTCAACCACATGTGGTTATGGCTACGGTCATCATTGCGAAACATTTTTGTTACTCTTGTCTTTATGGACATTTTTGGCAACCCTTATATCATTATTGTTTGAATATTCTTTTACTTTATTAACTGTTGAGAGCAGCAGTCTAAGCCTATATTTTGTATAATCTTAGAGAAGTGAATTTTTTAAATCCACTTTTCATGTGGACTCATAAGATGTCCCACTTCGGCGAGCCCGAAAGCGTCAGTTGCCGAGCTCCTGTGCATCCGAGTCTGGACTGGACTGCTCTAACTCCAACCCAGTTTCGGACTCCGCCTCGCTTCCCACGAGTTCTAATCCTACTACCGCCATACGTCATCTTCGCCAGCGCCGTCAACCCTTTATTCAGGAAACCTCCTCTGTAACTGTCTCAGCTGCTGACCACATCGATCATCCCCGGACATGCAACCGCAGGCCACAAAGTCACAGGTTACAGTTATCATCCACATCGCCTGAAGGCTCTGCTGCTCTTAACCTCAGTCCTACGTCTTGTGGGCTTGCAATGTTGCATTCACGTAGTTTACTCCTCACGGGCTGCCGGATAGCTCAAACTGCTGCGGAGGGTCGGCTCACCAGTCTGTCATGCAATGACTCTGAGTTAAGTTCCTTTCTGCCCGCTCATCGAACGCATAACTTCGCAAACTTGAACGAAGCCAAAGAACATAGATACCGCGAATCTGGGGATCTAGCTGTTGGCTGCCTACAGGATGTTGTTCCATTGTCTCTGGTGCAGTACCTAGGTAATCTTGCCGAATCTGTTTTATTCATACGATACTTTAGCTTATTGGGATTCACTTGGGATGATATGTAATACTTATATTTCTTGGAAAGTTTTTAATAGCTTAATTGTTGAGCAGGAATTATTAGTTAGTTATCTCACGTAATTTTAGGAAGTACTGGGGTTCTCGAAACTTGGATAAAAAGTCATTGGTAATGAGGAATTACGTGTGCCACTCATCCATCTTGAATGACACAGTAGATTTCAATGAAAAATGAAATCATGCCCTCTCTTTTATCTGTATTGGTAGCAACGAATTGGACTAGTGAAAATAAAAAAATTAATAATTTAAAATATAACCTTCATGCTAGAAGACTTCTCACACACTACTCTTCTTTCACTTTCCCTCGCATTTCTGGCTCAGAACTTACTAAGCAGGTATTTATGGATCACTTCGCAATGCTTCGTTCTCCTGTTTACCGAGCTCAGCTATTACGTGAGGTCCAAGTAGAACGTCAACGACACGAGGAGCTACTTCGTCGCAAACAGCTTCTCGAGGAGGTGATTGACAAGCTCCATGTTGAAGGGTGCAGTTTACTATCCAACTTTACTAAGCGTGTAAGTCGATCCCGATCAAGTATTCTATCGGTCAAGAATAGTTCTAGTCCTAGAGTTAAGTTGATTTCATTTTTTCGTTATTGAATAGGTTTTCGAGTCTACCAATAAATCACATATATGCTTTGTGTTCATCTTATTTCGTTTAAGATGATGAGGGACTGGTAGCTGAATTTTCCTACAATGATATGAGTAGAGCTGATGTTTCCAGTGAATTTCACATAGCCTTGCTTTCCCGAAGGCGTTCTCATCCAGGATGGACTGCAGTTTTGAGCTCGCTTAGGTCTTATTAATACTTCCAGCGGGAGCCAAACCATGACAGTGCAGCGTATAATCTCGATACGCTAACCACTGCCACATTGCTACGAGTGCCCTTGGGTCACAGAGCAGATGTGCATTTCAAGGAAGGTCAGGCATTTTCAATACTACATTCTGTGTTGGGATTGTTGATGACATTACTTTTTTATTCATGAGTAGGTTTTCGAGACTAACACTAAATTAAATATATGAGTTGTGTCTCGAAAACCTACTCACTTATGAAAAAAGTAATGTTGTCGATTGTTATTGCAAATATAAGTTCGCTTTATCGACAAACCCAACACAAAATGTGAAATAGAAAATGCCTGACCTTCCCTAAAATGTGCATCTTCTCTGTGACCTAAGGGCACTCGTGGCAATGCTGAGTAGTGGCTATTGTATTGAGATTACACGCTGCACTGTCATGGTTTGACGTTTGCTGGGGCTGTTGATAAGAGCTAGGCGAGGTCTAAATTGTAGTCCACTTTGGATGGG